AGAAGGACATGCTACACCTCCTTGTCTTTTGTATTCTATTCATTGCTGCAGTCAGAGAGCCCTCCACGTGTGATAGAAAAATCCAGAAGCTTGGATGCATATGCATTTGTGTGTGTGTGTGTGCGCACACATGCATGCAGCTGGTTAAGGAACATAGGTACCAGTCTCATGATTTGTGGGCTCACATGGGGACTGATTATTGATGGTTTCATTTATAGTGAGTGTGCTGTGAACCCAAAATTGGCATGCAAGGCAAATGAGGAAAGGTTAGTTTTCTCAGATGCTATAGAGTGGGGGTAAACTAGGGCATGGATTTGCTTTCCTGAGAAGTGAGAGCAGTAGATGAATAGCAAGACATTTTTTTTTTTTTAATTTGTCTTAAGTGAAAATTTGTTCACATGGCACTGGAGTTCCCCAAACAGCCATAAATCCCTGACTTGGCTGGAGTCTAGCCTCCTTTTTCCTTCCCAGGTTTAGCAGCCTTGCTGCCAGCGGTAAAGGTTCTTTTGGTACAGCAGGGGGTAGGAAGAAGAGCTGCATGATTGGCTTACGGCATTGCTTTCTCCCTGTTGCTTTCTGTTTGTCCAGCCTCATGCTTTAGAAATAGGGGGACTTTCATTGGCTGTGGTGTTAGAATAGTGTAAAGAGGGGCGCCTAGGTGACTCAGTTGGTTATGTGACTGCCTTCGGCTCAGGTCACGATCCCAGGGTCCTGGAATTGGGCCCCATATCGGGCTCCCTGCTCCACGGGAGGCCTGCTTCTCCCTCTTCTTCTGTCACTCCCCCTGCCTATCCTTTCCTGTTCTCTCTGTCAAATACATAAATAAAATCTTAAAAAAAAAAAAAGAGAATAGTGAAAAGATATATAATATCACTCTACTTCTGAAAATATCCTTCTAATAACTGGACCCCGAGGCTGAGCGAATGAATTGAAAGAAAGCTGACTTCTCCAATTGTAGGGCTTGAGATATCCAGCTCAGAATAAAGGAGGAACCTTAAAATGGATGCTGATGGTCAATCTTTGGTACTTAACTTTAAGACTGTAGAATAAGGATGGAATTTAGTCATCATTTGGCAGAAAAGCTCTTTAATAGAATAAAATTGACTCTCAAATTTTAGAGGAGCATTTTTCAGTTTGCCAGATAAAATGCAGAATACCCAGTTAAACTTATATTTCAGATAAAAATAAATAAAAATTATTCCTATTTTTAAAAGATTATTTATTTATTTGAGAGAGAGAGAGAGAGCAAGAGAGAACACGAGTTGGGGGAGAGGCAGATGGAGAAGCAGGTTCCCTGCTGAGCAGGGAGCCCAAATGTGGGGCTCAATCCGAGGACTCCAGGATAATGACCTGAGCTGAAGGCAGATGCTTAATCGACTGAGCCACCCAGGCGCCCCAAAATTATTCCTATTTTTATTTGCTAATGCTGGCAATACTAAACAGACAGTCTTTCTAAGGTAGAGATGTCTATCTTATATGGCAAAGCTCAGCAAGTCTTCATTAGGTTATCCTATGGATTAAAGGCTCTTTGGGAAGAAATATTTAGGGCTAGATATCCTAGACATCTGCTGGATTTCAATTTCTATACATTCTTTATGCACTGTACTGAGCCTCTCACATCCATCTTATCCACTCTATTCCATCACTGCCTAGGGAGTTCCAACTATTAACACCATTAACCCAAAATGTTCATGGGCTCAGTGATTTACTCCCTTTGCTGTAAACTCCTATTGGTCTCTCTGCTTGGTTTCTCTTTCTTACCACTCCCTTCATGCCACACCATTCCACCCTGAGCGCAATGATCTGAAAAATGATTCCCAAACTCCATTTCATCATGTCCTATGGTGATATGCTACCAGTCCAGTCTGCCTACCTGTAGAACTGGAACCACATTTGTCTGTGGCCCAGGATTTCCAGCAGTGTAATTTCTCCTAGCTCAGGCCCATCTGTGAATCTTGTGCACTGAGTTCTTGGGAATTGATCTTTCATACTCCTTCATGGCTCCTCACTCAAGAAATATCTGTTAGTTGGTTGGTTCTAGTGAATCCTATCAGAATTGGCCAAATTTATTGCATGGGAAAGTTGTTTTAAGCCCAAGGTTCTTGTGCTGGAGAAGTTCAGAGAGATTAGAAGACACTGAATCCTGCTTTTACTTATGTGAGTCTCCCTCTTACTGTTGTTCTTAGTTTTAGGGCTCAAAAGACAGAGCTCTCTGCATTTGAACTCCCCCAATTGAGGCAGTTTGGTTGGCAGATGGTCCTTTAAACTCCCAAACCAGCTTAAGCCAAGAGGGACTCAAATGTTGGTGTTGGAACTGAATTGAGAAGTTTATTCTTTAAGTCAATTCTAGATTTCTGGGTTGAAATCTATGATATATTTCTCTTTGGAACTTACTGCTTGTGTCTGCAGGTCTTGTTCAAGAGAATAACCTCCTTGGCTGCTCTACTTAGAAATATTATAGAGCATTGCTGGAAGTGAGGAAGAGAGGTTGGAACCAAGAATAGTAATACTATTAATAAAATTAGCTGAAAGCTATAATCACAATAATAATGTTAATAGTGTAAATTGTCCACCATGCTTCATGTGATTTATGCATGTTTTTCTTTAATTCATACAACATCAACAGTAGGTGTTTTTTTTTTTACCATTTCACAGATGAGAAAACTGAGGTCCAGAATGATTGAGTAGTTTGCCCATGGATAAAAACTAGTTAAGTACTAGAACCAGTATTTGAATAAACGTCCATCTGGCTGAAGTCCTAGGTTTACCCACTATAAGGTCACATTCCTCTTCTTGGTTGTTGGAGACTTTTTGCTTTGTGATTACAGACTCAGGGGTCCACTGAAGGGAAATATGAGGGCTGAATGGTAGCCTGGCACCTGTAGCTATACAGCACTCCATTTGGAGGATCATCTGACTGCCAGGACCAAGAGGAATAAGGCAACTGGGCCCAGATCCTGGGGGTCTGGAATGTGATGTGGGTCCCCAGGCAGGCTTCTCTGAAACCAAACCCTGCCTTGACCCTGGTTAATTACTCTAGTTATTCACACAACCAAATTCCTGCTGTCAGTGGGTCCTGTGATGCACATCAAGTCTGCCAACATACACAGAGCAGTGCTAATCCTGGTGAGCTTGCCCTGGGGCTGGGCAGGACGTCCTATCGAATGATTATCATGTGATGAAGCCCCAGTACTCCCCAGCCTGTCCTGGCTTTCCGGCTGCAGTGCTAACAGACTTTTCTTCTGGGGCATCTGGGAGCTGGAAATCGCTCACATGGATCACACACACACACTGGTGCCAGCCCAGCAGCTTTACCTAGCTGAAGGCCTCCCTCACTCTGGCTTGATAGCAATCGAGCCCTCCCAGTTGGAGCTTGTTACCTGGGAGCTGTCCAGATCCAATGATGAAAACTGGCTAGGGTGTAGTTGTTACGGTCAATTACCGGCAGCCCATTAAATGAGGGTTGGCAAACCCAGGAGCCCCTGAGCGCCATTTCCGAGACACTTTGGATACATTGTTTTTCCAGCCTCTGTTCTCTTAACCTGCCTTGGCTCCATTCTTTTCTTTCATGTTGAGACTCATGGGAATATGAAGGGGGGTGGAATCCAGGGTTTCTGATTCCCAGTATAGTGACTCCTGGGTGGTGGGATGGGATGGGATGTTCTGTGCTTGGAAGGTGGGCTGAGCTTCTTTCACTTCTCAGGGAGAGGTTGTGGACTTTGTTGAGAGCCAGTGAACTGAATCACCAGAGAGGTCAGAGTGTGCCTGGAAACTGAGTGCCTGCAGAGCTCCTCTGAACCCTCTTTTTTTTTTTTTTTTTTCCTCTGAACCTTCTTAACAAAGGGCAAAGAGGAAGTTACCTTCTACAGGAGGGCTGCCTCCAGGCCTTTCCAGGAAGTTAGAGGTGCTCAGGTTGGACCACCTAGGAGGTAGCCTATGCTCATTATTTTGGGGTAGGCTTTATTCTGGACCTTCTTTCTGAAGGATTCTAGTGTTTGCATCACCAGAATTTCTCTGGTCTGCTAGGTAGGGCCCATTTCTTCCTAAAGGTTAAGATCTTTCTTTTTTTTTTTTAATTTTATTTATTTATTTGAGAGAGAGAATGAGAGAGAGAGAGTACATGAGAGGGGGGGAAGGTCAGAGGGAGAAGCAGACTCCCTGCCGAGCAGGGAGCCTGATGCGGGACTCGATCCTGGGACTCCAGGATCATGACCTGAGCCGAAGGCAGTCGCTTAACCAACTGAGCCACCCAGGCGCCTGGTTAAGATCTTTCTAATACTTTAGATCAGTGGTTTAAAAAATGTGGTCTTTAGACCAGAAGCATCATCTGGAAGTGAGAAATGCAAATGATCAGGCCCCACCCCAGGCCCCCTGAATCAGAAACTCTGGGGGTGGAGCCTGGCAGTCTGTTATAGCAATGCCTTTGGGGTGATGAGGGGGCATGCGCAACTCTGAGTTTACTTCTTTAGACCCATGCTTCTCCAAATGTGGCCTGTGGAAAACAGCATCAGCATCTCCTGGGAGATTACTAGAAATGCAGTATCTCCAGCCACTTCTCAGACCTGCTGAATCAGAATCTGCATTTTAACAAGGTCCCCAGGTGATTTGATTGCCCTTTAAAGCTTGAGAAACAGTGGTTCTCAACGTTGGCTGCACGTCAGGCTCACCTAATGCCGAAGCCCCACCCCAGACCAATTAAATCAGAATTTCTTGGGGTGATGCCCAGGTGTTGGTATTTATTAAAAGTTTCCCTAGTGATTCTAATATATAGTCAAGGTTGAGAGCAATTACTTTGGACCACCATAGACTCCAGAATCACAGGGAGTTATGTCTGTTAAAAAACAAAACAACCAGAGGGAAAAGATGGCGGTGATGGCGGTCAGAGGTGCCGGTGGGAGCTGCGTGTCCAGCGGGAGGGACCTGAACTGCATCCCCGAAACAGCTGACACTTTGGGGGCTGTGGCCAAGCAGAGATGAGGGCCCAGACCTCTGCAAGCAGAATGCGGGCTCCGAACTCAGGGATAAAGAGAGACAGACTAGTCATCCCCGAGAGGCAGGGGTTTTGATTTCCTCTGCATGCCTGTCTTCCACCTGAGTTTCAAGAGGGAGTTCACTCAGGAACCTGCTAACAATCGGCCTGGCCCCCAGACACAATCAGATCTACTGCTGTCAGGAAGGGACTCAAAAGTGGAGAAGATCCGCAGGAACTCCGAGGCGGCCATGTTACAGGAGCTGAATTTTGGGGCATATTTGGGTCTTCCAGCTTTCCTGCTGCCCCTAAATCAGGAAGATAACACAAACTTGGCCAGGGTTTCGACCAACCACATCCACACTGGCCACCACTCATCCATGTTCTGGATGCGGGTACCCTTGGTGGCTCCAGAGGACCTTAGAGATGATAGCATTGAGAATGCACCAAATACACACACAGAGGAGTATAGTGGAGAGGAGAAGACATGGCACAACTTCCGGACCTTGTGTGACTATAGCAAGAGGATTGCAGTGGCTCTTGAAATTGGGGCTGACCTCCCATCTAATCATGTCATCGATCGTTGGCTTGGGGAGCCCATCAAAGCAGCCATTCTCCCCACCAGCATTTTCCTGACCAATAAGAAGGGATTTCCTGTTCTTTCTAAGATGCACCAGAGGCTGATCTTCCGGCTCCTCAAGTTGGAAGTGCAGTTCATCATCACAGGCACCAATCACCACTCAGAGAAGGAGTTCTGCTCTTACCTCCAGTACCTGGAATACTTGAGTCAGAACCGCCATCCACCCAATGCCGATGAACTCTTTGCCAAGGGCTATGAAGACTATCTGCAGTCCCCACTCCAGCCACTGATGGACAATCTGGAATCTCAGACATATGAAATGTTTGAAAAGGACCCCATCAAATACTCTCAGTATCAGCAGGCCATCTATAAATGTCTGTTTGATCGAGTGCCAGATGAAGAGAAGGATACCAATGTGCAGGTGCTAATGGTACTGGGAGCAGGCTGGGGTCCCCTGGTGAACGCTTCCCTGTGGGCAGCCAAGCAGGCTGACCGTCGGATAAAGCTGTACGCTGTGGAGAAGAACCCAAATGCTGTGGTGATGCTAGAAAACTGGCAGCTTGAAGAATGGGGAAGCCAGGTGACGGTAGTCTCATTGGACATGCGGGAATGGGTGGCTCCAGAGAAAGCAGACATCATCGTCAGGGAGCTTCTAGGCTCCTTTGCTGACAACAAACTGTCATCTGAGTGCCTGGATGGAGCCCAACACTTCCTAAAAGATGACAGTGTGGGCATCCCTGGGGAGTACACTTCCTTTCTGGCTCCCATCTCCTCCTCCAAGCTGTACAATGAGGTCCAAGCCTGTTGGGAAAAGGACTGAGACCCTGAGGCCCAGTTTGAGATGCCTTACATGGTGCGGCTACAACTTCCACCAGCTATCTGCGCTCCAGCCCCGTTTCACCTTCAGCCATCCCAAGAGAGATCCTCTGATTGACAACAACTGCTACTGTACCTTGGAGTTTCCCGTGGAGGTGAACACAGGGCTACATGGCTTTGCAGGCTACTTTGAGACTGTGCTTTATCAGGACATCACCCTGAGTATCCATCCAGAGACTCACTCTCCTGGGATGTTCTCATGGTTTCCCGTCCTCTTCCCCATTAAGCAGCCCATTACAGTACATGAAGGCCAGACCATCTGTGTGCATTTCTGGCGGTGCAGCAATTCCAAGAAGGTGTGGTATGAGTGGGCTGTGACAGCACCAGTCTGTTCCGCTATTCACAACCCCACAGGCTGCTCATACACCATCGACCTCTAGCCCTGCCCGCAAGTGTTCAGAGCCTTGGAAGCAGCTTCAAGTTCTGCTCCTGTGGCATAGAAAGTGCAGTACATCTGTGGGCTGTGATTCCCCTTGCCCATCAGAGTGGAGTATTTCAGTCTGCTTTCCTGCCTTACATCAAGGTGGGCAAAGGAGGAGAATTAATTGCAGGGCTCAAGCCACCAATCTGTGAAGACTTCAGGTCAGGGTGGGAGGAATTAGTGCTGGATCTGAAGCTACTCCAACAGGCACTCAGCCTCAAGCGCTCCCTGGAATAGGCCCGAGAACATGTGGATTGAACACATTTTCAGCCCTTTCCCTGCCCATCTCTGTTCCTGTTATGATGGTTTTGTGTAGGAGGAAATACAAATAAAGTGAAGTTACAGCCTTTAAAAACAAAACAAAACAAAACAAAACAAAACAAAAAACAAAACAACCATCCAACTACACAACAACCAGAACAAACCCGGTAATGTAGAGCGGAGCTTCTTAGCAGTATAGAGGGACATATTAGTGCCTCATGGGTGTGTTGGGTAGATGTGGAATTTATAGCCTGATCCTATCAGGCCTTGGGGGTGACAGGATGGGACCTGGGTTGCCATGAGCAACCGTTTACTCCCGGGGGCTATTACAAATATCATTTTCTGTGTATGCTGTGACAGGAAGAAGGTTAGGAAACATGCTGTAGAGAAGCTGAGTCTATTATTCCTGAGTTAATGTGCTAACTATGCTGATGGGGTCTGGGGAGGGTTGCAGAAGGGAGATACTAAAAATCACTGACTCTGGGCCTGAGAGGGCAAGAACGTGCCTTTAGATATTCCATAATATCTTCCATAATTCCAATCCAGACAAATACTTTCTAGAGCATCATTGCCACCTGGTATTTATTTAGCATTTTTGCTATTTAGACGTTTCCTAGTTGTTATCCTATTGTTTCCTAAAGTAAGCACAGATTATCTTCCCTTTTTGGAGTTGAGGGTTTGAAGCCCAGAAAGTTGAGACTCCTTAAGGCCAGTTAATAAGGGACAGTTGAAGGGTGAAGAGGTGTTTCCTTGATGTGCACTGGAAAGGTCTAGAGACCTTTCATGTCATAATGGCAAATGCTACCTCTGGGGTGGGGGTGAGGAGGTAGGGGGTGGGACTCAGCCCCTGAAAGGAGGGACTCAATGTTCCTACTGCTGCCTTCAGTCCTGAGTCTTTGCCTAGAGCCTGGGGCTTCCTGGGAGTACCCCAAGAAAGCTCTAAAAGAGGAACTGTTTAGCTAATTACAAAACCCGACTGTTGTTTGGCTGGCTTGAGTATGTTAACACATCCCCCTTTTGCATAAGTTTTCATCCTGGTGCTGGAAGAACATATTGTAATTATGCTAATTGTGCTGGCTGGGCAGCCTGAGGCTGAGAGGGAGGCGGACACCTCTCCTAATTGTTTCCCTCTCCTGGAGCAGTTGGTGCTCTGCCTGAGTCCCCAGACAAGTAGAGGGAAGGCTGTGGGGCAGGTGGAGCTAGGGAGGAGGTCTGCACAGGGCTTCCTGTCCTGGGGCTGCAGGGGTCCACCTGGTTTTTGGGGAAGGAGGGAGGGGTTAGGGATAGGTGTCAAGGATGGGTTGACTGAGCAAAGGGACCTTCTGCTGGATTCAGTAGAGACTGTATTCAGGACTGGCCCTTATGAGATTGTGAAAGAGGCAAATTTATCTTTGATGTCCTTCATTTTCTCTTTGGTGGTGGTGGCTCTCCCCACCTCCCTTACCTCATCCCTCCTCCACCCACACCCCCAGCTCCTCTTGCTTTTTCTTTTTGCTTTTCCTAAACCTCCAGGCATCCAGTGTTTTCTGCTGGCTTAGAATTTGTTTGCAGGCAAGTTTATGATATAGACATAATTATAGATATAGATAGAGATATAGATATTGACATAGACATAACTATCCTTATATGTAGGAGACTTAATGAACATTTGACTACTAAAGACAACTTGTTAGAAAGCACAGTGCTTAATGAACCTAAGGCCATGAGTGATGGAGATATTTTCAATCAGTGACTTGTCCAGTGTTCTTTATATGACAGGGTTTATATAAACAAAATTGTTGACAATTTGCACCAAGGCAGTTTTAAACAGAATTGATAATGTATACTGGATTTATTATTAAGTTGTTTGCACTCACTTTTTCTAACACCATTTGTCTTTATGAGCTCATCAGTAAAGGGTACTTCACACAGACTTCACAGGTGAGTATGACTCTGTGTGTTGTGTACATTTGTATCCATCCAGGGAAAGGAACTGAGTCTCTCATCCAAGTTGATGCAGACTGAAAAGGATCACTTAACCAGGGGTGACCTTGAGATGGTTAGCCTCTGGGCACCCATCTGGACTTTTCACAGGATGTGTAATGGCAGTCCAAGCTTATATAAGCATATTTTATAGGGCAGCATGACACTGGTCAACATTCTGAATTGCACTGAAGTAACAGCAGAGAAAGTAAACCTTGACTCTAGACTGTCACTGGTTGATGTCTGCAGTGACTTTATTTTCCATTTGCATTTAGGTTTGTACATTTCCATTGGTAGTCTTCTGTCCAGCTGTCAGAAAAACCATGGAAGTTCTTCTCTTCTTTCCTTTTGATCATGTAGGTCTTTATAGCTGACTCCAGGGAAGCGCTAAGCTTTGTATAACTGGCTGATGGGTTTCATTTAGCACCATGATTCTCCTGTGGGACTCTTTGTTTAGTGTTGGTTGTGAAACTCATGATTCAATCCAAAATTTCCTAGCCTCAACTAGACTGATTTTTGGCATCATGAACCAAGTGTAGAACGAAGATCGTTTGTTTGGTTTGTCTTTTCTATTAGTCCAGGGCCAGCTGGGTCTTCAACAGTGTGATCGGTTTCAGAGGAGTAGGGGATATACAAAATAGCAAACACAGTCCTTGCCCACAGGGCAACATATATCCAGTCTCTTATCTTTCAGTTTCTCTCTGTATTTTTTCTTTCCCTTGGACTTTTCCCTCTTTTCTCTTTGTTCTGTTTTTTTCCTCTGTCTTATTTTTTTTCCTTCTGTTTGTGTTTCTGTAAGATTTGTCTTTACTCACATTTTCTACAACTAAATATTTCTGCCTTTTTCCCTTTTACTTCTATGGCCTTATCATTGTTTTTTCTAATCATCTGATTAGAGATTTTCAAAGCAGGAAAAGAAACAGACAACAAAAACATCTCTTAAAGCCTGATTCCTGAACAGTCACTGATGGGTTAAGCAGACCTTCCCTCTCCTCATATTGTATAACCTTGCTCAGGTATTATAACTCAAATCGTCCATTATCTGAAAGATCTTCCTAACAGTGGGCGTTTTGACCTGCTAAACAATATGAGCTTCCCCCATAACTGTTCACAACAGGCTAAATGCAGGGCAGAATTTCAATCCTAAATCAGAATTACTCTGGATTTCTGGCACTTTAAACCAGACTGCTAATACCCAGTGATTTTATTGGAGTACCTCTTGTGGGTGTGGACTTTTTTTTTTCCTTTTCATTTTAAATGCTAGTTAAAAGGGAAAAATGACAAGCTCATTCCTCTGAAAGAGAATTTTGGCAGGCAGATAGTATGATTCTGGAACAGACGGTTTAAATATTATTTATGTGTTATTTAAAGTTGCAACATGGGCTTATGCATATTCCTGCAACATTAAATAACTGTTTAACTTGAAATTCTTATCAAGATTAGATCAGTTTATTTGGAAAAAGAGAAAACCTAGGGTGAATTGCTATCCCTAGGAAAATAGAAGCCCCACTAGGATAGAAGTAGTTGATGAGAAAAGGAGAACCAGGACATGTTCTCCTTTAGGGCAGACAGCCTGTTACTGGGGCTAGAAGACCACTGTCCTCCAAAATGTGGTTATTGACCTGTTCAAAGGATTGCTTTCATTTGCTGCTTCAGATCTAATTGTTGACTCTAGTGGGGACCACATATGTTTACCATGTCCAATAACCAACAGCATTTTCAACTTTGAGGGTGGAACAGGGAAGTAATTAAATGGAAAATCAACAATAATACAAAACATCATATAAAAAAGGCAAGTCTTATTCTATTTCTAATCATCATTTTGAGAAAAACTGAATGAATGTATTTCCCTGAGAAAACAAGAGGAAGAATCCTTACTATGTTGAATCACTTCTTGCCACATTTTAGGCAATAATAAATTTGGATACCTAATGTGAAACTCATATGGGAAAGAAAAGGATGATTCAAAGATGTATAAGTCAGGATAGGTTATGGTGTGGTAACAAACAATCCCCAAATCTCAGTAGCTTAGCATATAAAGGCTTATTTCTTCCTCCTGAAAATTCCACTAGTAAGAACAACTTTTGGCTTTCCATGAAGCTCCTTTCCAGGAGATCTAAGTTGCTTACATCTGTTGCTGTGCCATCTGGAACACATGCCTTCATGTGTTTAGTAACTTTGGTTACTAAAACATGGGAAGAGCTTTTCTGAAAGTGACATACATCATTTCTGCTTGCAACTTGTTGGCCAACTTGTTGACTAATTTGTTCACTACCAAATTTGTGTGGTAGCAGTGTTTTAGAGAAGCTTGCAGAGGGCTAGATTACTGAGAAGGTCTGGGATCAAGGCCCTCTCAAAGGCAGGAGAGCTGGAGTCAGCTCTACACTTGCTTGGACTGCAGGGTTGAAGTAGACAGAATTGTGGGAGACCCTGAGAGGCCAGAGGCGGAGGGTCTGGTTGCCCTACTAGGGGACCATACCATATAGGGAGGCAGATGATCTGCAGGGGTCTGATGCTTGCCATTTCAAGAGGGCCCTTTCTGAGGCTGGCTAAAGCTTTGTAGACACTGACCATTTCTGTGTGTAGTCCTCTCAGATGCCTAACTCTCCTAAGGTAGGGACCATAACTTACTGGTTGTTGTGAGAGCAGCAGTGTGTCCCATGGTGACTTACCTAAAGAATACTAACTGGCTTTTAGTGGAATAAACCAGGCAGCCCGAGTGGGTCAATATTGTTGCTTCTGTGGTATAAACTAGGGCTTCTGAAACTTTGTTATGCTTACAAATGACCTAGAGATCTGGTAAAAAAAAAAAAAAATGCAGATTCTGGTTCAGTAAATCTGGGCTGAGGCCTGAGAGTCTGCATATTGAACCAAGATTTCATATTTCACATAAAGGTATTAACTGAGTATTCCAGTTAGGTGTGTTAATCCCCTGAGGCTCAGTTATGTGAATACAATTGAAGGGGCTTTTGGGAAGCTTCCTCTGTGAGAGGCAATAATCTCAATCTAGTTATTCCTATTGTCCAGGCCACTGATGGGAATCACACATAGGCCTTCAGAGACAAAGAGGTCTCATTGGGCTGA